CCTCTGAATCCTGTTCACGCTGGCCTTTCACTGAGTTCTGAGACTTCCATGCCAGTGGACAGACACTAAGCCATCTTGGCTTAGATGTAGCAGAGGCTTACCACAGTTATTTCCGAGATATGTGGCACACACAAGTCATCTGGGAATCTTGCAGACTTTCATTTGTAGTTCTCAGACCTGCATTTCTAGCCAGTCTTCAGTGGCATGCAGGTAAAACTGTTGGCCCAGTGAACATAATTTGGGTAATACGTGTATAAAGCACTCTTTCCCCAACTGTGCCTTTTTCTGATTGATACTTCGTGTCTTTCTGTCCTCTGTGCCTTAACTCCACTGTACTCACAGTCCACTGCTCCTCCTCCCCATTTCCACTGTCCGTTACCCCCTCTAATTCTCCTTTCCTGCTTACCCAGTTTATGTTACATGATATCTCTTTACAATCACTACTCTACACTCATCTTGAAGTTCTTTGCTCCTTTCTCTCTTTCCTCGTTATACTTAACTGGCAAAACCTACCCTATAAAACTCACTTCCAGCCACACCCTGTGGCTTCACCTCTGGTGGTAGAAGAGCTGCAGGACCTCTTCAGGCTACCATGCTAACTACTAGCTCCCTTGTCCTGTCAGCCCTCCCTCTCCTCTCCTGGAACACTTCATGCTCCCGCTTTGTACATCAAATATCTGTTTCTCCATCCTTACTCAGTGGTAATTTGATTATTTTCCTCTTTGTGTCACAACTTAGAAGTGAACTTCCTCTGTGGCTTGTCCTGCATCTGTCCACATATCTGTGTGTGCCCAGTGTTCACAGATGCACTGGATTTGCTCTGGCTCCACATCTGGCATTGTTATCATTGGACACATGACATGCCTCCCTACCTTCACATCTCCACTCAATTAGTGATGTCTTTCCTGGGATCCCACTCAGCAAGCGTAAGGCCCCTAGCCCCACACTGCCTCCAGTTGTTTTCTTCAATGATCATTGAAGCTGCTCTGCCAGATAAGTGATTTGTCTTCCCCTCTACGAGACAGCTTCCTGAGGTCAGGAGATTTTGTCTGGCTTAGTATCAAAAACCCATGTAGAATAGTGATGATCCATGAGGATGCTCCTTGATTGATGATAGAATAGGAAATGTGGTTATATTAGAACAGAACCAGAAATAGACACTTAGGATAAAACTACCTACCAATATAAATACTTTTAAAAAAAACCCTCTGGTCCTTTTTGAATAGACAGGTCTATTCAAATAGGGAATTCCCTATTTGGGGATTTTTGAAACCTAAGTATGCTGAACTTAAGAGGTTGTTGAGCCCACCAGTTCCTTCAGAGATCAGAAGAGAAAATACGCAATATCATATTCATTCAAAAATTCTTGTCCCTTGTCTCATTAAATGCACCCTAGGGAAGTCACTAGTTTAAGTCATGGTTTAACCAACCTACATTGCTCTGGGATCTGGAGTTTTACTATCTTCTTTTGGGACACTGGCAAGAGCTGTAACTTAGTATTTAATAGTTCCCTGGGCTAAATAAGCTTAAGTCAGAATAATTGTAGGAAAAGAGATGTCTATTATGTGATCTATATCTGATTCCATGTGAGTCTATTGTTATGAAAACAACCACATGGCTTTAAGATGGTGATAAAATATTCTGAGAAGTCACAAAATAGAAGTGTTTGTCTTGAGAATGTGCCATGCTGGTTGGTCTCAAGGACACAAAGTTGAGCATTTAGTCCCCTGGACATAATGGAGAAAGTTGAAATTATCTACAGGAAAGTGTAGCTATCATTATTTTTAGTTTATTCTAAAGAAATTTGCATTTTATTACATCATCAGGTTCACTAACATTGCCAAGCAAGGTTTTGTGCAAGCACTGATCCAGGGGAAGAGCAGAGGGTATTGTTGGTATTAAGTAGGATGACTGACCTTCCACAGGACCAAGAATGCAGCGGATGCTCAATATATGCACGTTTTATCTTTCTCTGCCTCATCTATGTCATCTCTGTGGGTCCCCACTCACTCCGGTGTTTTTAAGCCTAAAATAGAAGTTAGGAAATAAATATTGCTGTGTTTCACCAAGTCACATTCATTTTAGACTAGCAATTCTAAACCTGGGGGTGGTATTTTGCTGCTTGGGTGACATTTGTCAAATATGGTGACATTTTGGGGTTGTCACAATTTAGTGTGAGGGTTGCTAGTCACTTTAACAAAATTATCCATCCCTAAACAGCATGTTTTAGGACATGAACTTTTCAGTGTTCTTAGAGTTTATTTCTTCACTGGACTCTAAATGAAAGAGAATGTTGGGAAGATGTGACAGACCATGGCCATAGTTGGGACAAGAGATTGGCGTAAATTATAGGACCCACCTTGCCAGCTACAAGTCCTATATAAAATATTAACTTCTATACTCATTGTTTAGTTTCTTTTTAAAAATGCAATATGGGGGCTGTGGAGGTAGCTCAGTAGTAGAGTGCTTGCCTTGCATGCATGAGGCCCTGGGTTCGATTCCTCAGTACCACATAAACAGAAAAGGCCAGAAGTGGCGCTGTGGCTCAAGTGGTAGAGCGCTAGCCTTAAGCTGAAGAGCTGAGGGACAGCACCCAGGCCTAGAGTTCAGGCCCATGAACAACCAAAAAAAAAAAAAAATGCAATATGGCCAGACATTAGTGGCTCACACCTGTAATCCTAGCTACTCAGAGGCTGGGATATGAGGATCATAGTTTAAAGCCAGCTCAGGCAAAAAAAAAAAAAAGTCTATAAGACTCTTATCTCTAATCAAGCACCAAGAAAATGTGGAAGTAGGGTGTGGCTCAAGTGGTAGAGCATTAGCCTTAAGCAAAAAAATGCTCTGAAACAGGCCTGAGTTCAAGCCCCAGGACCACCCCCCCCACACACACATAAAAATGCAATATGGCAGAGACATGGAGTGCTCAATATAGAGGTAAAGATGATGAGTGATGATGTTGAACATGTGAGAGGTACCATGACAAGGAGACTGTCAAACTGTGTCAGGGGCATAAGTTTTATTCCAAGAATTGTGCAGAAATACATGGATAGGTCCTTCAGAACAAAGCCATCATGCTTTCTTCTGTACCATGTTCACAACCTGTACAGACTTCTGTTATTGGGGTTTTTCTCTTTGTATAGTATTTATTTGGAACATGGTCTCTGAAACTGGCCTTAATTAACCATTTTTGCCTTTTGTGTATCTTTTGTACTATATATGTAGATTTATCATCGACTATTTATTGAACAGACTGAGCAGTGTTCTTTGTGGGTTTTTTTTAATTGTGAAAATACCATACAGAGCGGTTTACAATTACATGAATAAGGTAATGAGTACATTTCTTATCAAGCATTGTTGCCTCCTCCTTTGTTTCCCCTTCCCATCCCTTCCCATCCTTCCCCCCCTCCCCGCCACCAAAGTTGTAAAGTTGTTTTTCAACATAACATCTTGTACATCTCATTGTTGCAATGGGTCCACCTGTATCTCTATTTAAACAATTTGTTTTTTCCCTTCCCCTCCACAAATTATACCAACATCAAATACAGTGAAAGCAGGGGTTATACCGTGGAGGAGGGACATACAAAGCAACAAAGAAATCATCTTATAAGTATGTTAAAAACAATTGCAAGAAAGACTCAGCAGTGTTTTGAACTCCACCAGCAACATCTCACCACTGTTATGTCTCCACTTTTGAATTGGTGCCATTCTTAAGTACTTATTTTTGAAGCAGTTGTTTAGAGCTTGAAATTTACCACTTTGGTTTTGTAAATGTTGGGTTTTCTGACTGGTTTGGAGACCTTCCAGAACCCACACTGTAGCTGCTGAGCAGTGGTGCTAAGTACTCAGCAGAGAGGGGGTGGTAGGGAGTGGGGTGAGGGGATTCCCAGCCAAAGGCCAAGAGGAGAGAGTTTCCAGTGTCTGGCTACAAGCCCACTTCTAGCAAATGGGATTTTTACCATTTCCTTGTCTCTTCTGTTGTGTAACTTCTCTCACTTTCTACTGCACTTTTCTCTTGGTGCTCACATCCAAGGGCTCTTGGACCACCTGGGCAAGGTCCATGGGATAGGGTAGATTGGTTTGAAGCCGCCTGGTCTTGGAACCCTGGTCTTGCTACCCACTGAGGGGTCCAGCTCAGGGAAGGACATCACCCTGCTTGTTGACAGCTTTACTGTTTTGCATTGCTCTTTCAAACTTTGCTTGTCATTTCTTTTTCTCTAAACTTTGTAAGACATAAATAAATCGAAAGTTACTTTCTTTGTCTGACTACATCTTCTAAAAAAATTCAGACCAGGTTTTTGAGTCATTCCTTCACTAGCCACACTTACACACTTTACATAGTATATTTTAAGATGTCTACATTAGAGACACTATTCTATAAAAGCAGAATTTTAGACTTGAGATTCCATTTCTCCAACTTGAATCACACCTCCTCTTGGAGGAAGTGATCTTTATAAGAGATATAATTTTATTTTTAAGCTTAAGGAATCATGTTAAAAATATGGGAGCTATATTGCTGAATTGAGTCTGACATTTACGACATGGTTTTCTGTGCGTCCTCATATTTACTGAAAGGCTATTATCTTCTTAGGTGTGCAGCCATCTTGCTTTGCCTATCTTCAAGGGTCAATATTTGAGGTCTATAGTTGTAGCACTAATAATAATTCATAGTTGTTGTCAGACTCTGAAAAAGAAAGAGAAGGGAGCAATGACTAATAAGCAAGAGTATCTTTAATTATACCCATATTTCATGCCATCATTTTTATTTTCCCACATATATAAAATTTAGGATAATATGTAGGTCTATGATTATTTAACTTTGCCTTTAAATATTCTGCTCTCATTATTAAAATGCTAAAGACTAAACAGTTTGGTATCAATTGCTTTCTTTATTTACCAAAACTTAAATAAGTAAACAATGAGCTAATAATTTTTTGCTTAATGTTTGCAGTTTTAATTTGGCACAGATTTTTTATAATGTCTCATTTGTGTTTTCTTTCCAGAGGACATATCTTATTTCAGAAGTGGAGCACAACTTCCTGCCTGGAAACAGCTGATTTTAAGGTAGATCTCTATTATTATCTGTTATTATTATCTATTAATGCTCATCAAAGCAGGATTCGAGCTGAACCTTGTGTACAGCTATCAGTTTTTCATTTGGGAATACTGAATTGTGGGTCTACAGACACATAGCTGTCAAACTGAATATCCTTCAGTAATGAGCTAGTCCCATTATGAGTTTGATTCTTTTGCCATAAATTCTGCATTAATTTTTCACTGTAGTGACAAACACCTGCAAGAGACCATTTAAGGGGTAAAGACTCATTGGCTTGTGGTTTCAGAGCTTGATTCAGTCCCATATCAGACAGCTCCCACTGGGGGCCCAACGTGAAGTAGAACATTATGACTAAAGAACAAGAAGGAACAAAGCTGCTCACCTAACAACACCCACAAAGAAGACAGACATGGAAAGGAACGGTTCAGAAACAAGAAATGCCCTTCAAATGTGCATCTCCAAGCCAGGCACTGGTGGTTTATGCTTATGGTACTATCTACTACTATCTACTCAGGGAGCTGACATATGGGGATCATGATTTGAAGCCAACCAGGGCAGAAAAGTTCATGAGACTTTTTTTTTGTAGGCAGTGGCTGCTGCTGCTGCTGCTGCTTCTGCTTCTTCTTCTTTCTTCTTCTTCTTCTTCTTCTTCTTCTTCTTCTTCTTCTTCTTCTTCTTCTTCTTCTTCTTCTTCTTCTCCTTCTCCTTCTCCTTCTGCTCTTCCTCCTCCTCCTCCTCCTCCTCTTCCTCCTCCTCTTCCTCCTTTTTCTTCTTCCCCTCCTCCTCCTCCTCCTTCTTCTTCCCCTCCTCCCTCTCCTTCCCCTCCTCCCCCTTCTCCCCCCTCCTCCTCTTCCTCTTTTTCCTTCTCCTCCTCTTCCTTCAAGAGGGCTATTTTCTATTACTAGTTTGATGGCTTTTATGATGTTCTTGACAGTTCTTTATATTTAAGGGTATGTTATTTTGTGCAGATGTCAGTATCTGAATTCTTTTATCTAAAGTCAGAGATTAATATCTTTTATTTATCAATAAATGTGACATACAGGTACTATATTAAAAGTCATATATCATAATTAGTGGAAGGTTTAATCAATTCAAAAATAACCCAAAACAGAATGCAAACATTGAATGGATCTTGTTTTTTTATTCAGTCTGCTATTCTTTTTTTGGAGAATTGAGTTCATTAATGCTTAGAGAGATATATCATGTTTCCTGCCATTTTCTTGATTTCTTGTGTTTCGTTTTTTTCCTCTTCCAATGTTTACTAAATTGATCTTCTAGTGATTTTTGTCTGATGTGTTTCTTAGATTTTGATTGTTTTCTTCCAATTATATTCCTCCCTTTAGAATTCTTTGAAATGCTGGTTTAGTGGTCATCAATTCCTCCAATTTTTGTTTGTCATAGAAGATTTTGTTTTCACCATCTAATATAAATGATAACTTCGCTGGGTAGATCAGTCTGGTTGGCAGTTATTGATCTTCAGTGCTTGGATTATACAATTCCAGGCTCTCCTTGCATTGGGTTTGTGTGGAGAGGGCTGCAGTGATTCTGATTTCCTTCATATTGTAATATAGCTCCTTCTTTAATTTTGCGACTTTTAAAATCAGTTCCTTGCTATTCACATCTAATGTTTTGACTATGATGGATCTAGAAGTGTTTCTTCTTGTATGAGACTCTTATTTCTAATTAGCCACCAAAAGCTGGAAATGAGGCTGTGGGTCAAGTGATAGAGCCCAAACCTTAGGCAAAAATGCTCAAGGACAATGCCCAAGTCCTGAGTTCAAGCCCCAGGACTGGCGCGTGCACGCGCGCACGCACGCACACACACACACACACACACACACACATACACACATCCCCAGGTGACATAGTGTAAGTAAGAGTTATCTCCAAATAGCACATTCTGCTATATATGCATTGATAATGTTAGTGCTTTCCTGATTCAATTGCCTCTCACAAGTTCTCCCAGTTGGTGACCAAGCCTCTAATACATAAACCTCCAGGGGTGGGGGCGGACATTTCATATTCAGACCATAATAGAGATGAAGACTCTAGCAAGTGTGCCTCCTTACAACATGGTGCCTCCCTCTGGTCAGGGACAGGCACAGAGCTGGCTCTTTTTTAAAAATATTTTTTATTGTAAAGATACTATACAGAGGGTTGCAGTTACATGAGTAAGGTAATGAGTTCATTTCCTATCGAGCATGTTACCCACTCTTTTGTTTTCCCGCTACCATCCCTTCCCTCCCCATCTCCCCAACTCTTCCCTCCCCCTACCCCGCAAGTTGTAAAGTTCATTTTCAACATAGTGTCTTGTACATCTCAATGTTACAATGGGTCAACCTGTATCCTTGTTTCAGCATTTTGTTATTTCCCTTCCCTGCCCCAAATTAGAAAAATGTATATACAAGATGCAGGGTACCAAAATCAAATATAGTGACAACAGGGTTATACCATGGGGGAAGAACATACAAAAGAAATAAAAAAAATTATATAGTACATTAAAAAACAACAGTGACAGGGCTGGGAAGGTGGCTCAATGGTAGAGTGCTTGCCTTGCATGTATGAGGCCCTGGATTCAATTCCTCAGCACCAGAAAAAGCCAGAAGTGGTATTGTGGCTCAAGTGGCAAAGCACTAGCCTTGAACTGAAGAGCTGGGGGACAGCACCCAGGCCCTGAGTTCAGGCCCATGATCTACAAAAAAAAAAAACAGTGACAAAGAAAAAACCTTTTGTATCCTATTTTTTTTTTGTCCCTATCTTGAGGTTCATTTCACTTGGCATCATCTTATATGGTCACATGTATATAGCTTTGGACTTTCTTTACTGGGTAAACGCTGGCTCTAAGATACCTCTGAGAAACCTGGAGAAATGCCCAATCCCTTTCCTTTTCTTTGAGATAAGGATAATAATTGGATATTTCCAAGTGCTAGATGAAGAGATTAATGGAACATACTACCACCACACACACTTGCAACCACCACCATCATCAAAACACAAGGCTATGTTTACTGTTGTTATTATTTATAAAGTTACAGCCTTAATGACCTTGAATCATTTCTGCTGACAGAATCAAACCCTGAAAAAAGTCATCCAGCCTCAATAAGTGACATGTTAACACAAAGACATTCTATATTTGATTTTAGCAATTAGATGACTGCCAGGTTATCAATTTTTATAATGAATCCTGGACTTTGAAGTGCCACATCCACCCCATTTAAAAGATTTAGAATCTCAAGTGTTCTGGCCTGCCTGACCTGTGCCCATTACACATCATTACCCCATCTCTCCACAGCCTGGAGAGGAAGGAGTCCATCTGGTCTGGATTTTCCCAATCTCTTCACAGAAGGCACCTTGTAAAATAGGGCAGCACTGTCTTTTAATTAAAATCTTTCCTTCAATGTATGGGGAAATCCTTTCTCTTACTAGAGTAGCCCTTTCCTCTTAGGAGAGCAGGAAACTATTTCAGGGTCATTTGGGCTTTTCTTTGAAGTCTGGGCCTTTCCAAATATAACTGCAGATCCTGGAAAACAGCCTGCCTTTTGTTAGTTAACTTAAGCTAAAGAATCAGAGCATTAAGACCTCGGACTATCCATACTCCAAAAATACCTCCCTCTGATTTCCCAACACTGGACTAGAATCTCAATTTAGAAATGAATCCTTGTTTTCTCTAATGCATTTTTCTATTCCACTAGAGCAGCTCACCTTGCACATTTCAATAGGGGCCTGAAGAGCATTTTCTACCTTGGGGGTAATTAAGATCTAACTTGAGGATCTATGTATTTTAGCATAGCTATAGGATACTTCTATAGTGCATTCACAGGCCTCCCTGCGGTCTATAAAGCACTGTGTTACTCTTTTGTATGTGGTGGTTAGTGTCTACAGTTTCACTGTGAAGGTATTTTTCTACCTTCCCCATTCCCCTTACTTAACTTGAATTTTTAGTTTGTTCTTTGCCAGGCCAACTCCTGTCTCCAGTGTTCTGGTTACCTTTATTTTAATGCCTTACCCAGGCAGCTCTCAAAATTTAATGTGTATACACAGGAAAACTGTCTTCCCACACCTCCCTCATTCCTCTGCTCACAGATGATTGCTTCTCCCAGAATCAATACTTCAAATTAATGGTATCCTTGTAACTCAGCTCAGAAATTGTAGTCCTGACATTTCCTCATCTTCCTTCATTCCCTCCATACAGGATTCTGTATTTTTAAAAAATCAAAATGGAGATCTGTGCTTAGTGAAGTCACATAACTCACCATCATAGATGTTCAGTGTAGTATCTGACCTTCCTCTCCTCTGCCTCCCACTGGTCACTTCTTTAATGCTGACCCTCTTCACCTCTGTTACATACACATCAGTGTCGGAAGCCAGCTCTCTTCCAACAGACTTTCCCACCTGTGGACCCTCTCTGCTCCCAAATTTATAACATGATTTTTCTGTTCAGTCATTTCTGTGGGCCTTTTCAACCTTGAGAAAGACTCCAACACCTTACCATCAGTCGCTAGGCACCATTCCTGCATGATTTCTCCCACTGTCCAGCATCTTCATGAGAACTTAATTGCTTGGGGGTGTTCCAAAACATGCCCTTTTCAGAAACTCAGCCTTTCTTAGTGAGTACTGTTCTCTCTTTGGAGAATGCTATTGCCCTTTTTTCCTTAGTAAATGCATCCTGAGATGCCCTCCCTGACTCCCCAGAGATAGTTGGGCTCCCCTACCACTCCTCAGCTGTAGCTCTAATCACTTATTCACTTGCATTTTGACCTTCCTGTATATTCACAGCTTGAAGGCAAGGTTCCAATGTTATTTTTGAACCCACATTAACAAATGCCTGGCACATAGTTACACCCCATGGATGCTCTATTTTCTTTAAGCAGAAGCATCTTTGACACTGTAATAAAGAAGAAAAGTAATAGATCTCAAGCTATGCTTTTTTCCTGACTACCCATAAGCATTTCCTTCAAGAAAATGCTTTGCAGGGGCTGGGAAGGTGGCTCAGTGGTAGAGCGCATGT